CTCCTAGCCACAAACGTACATTTATGCGGAAAACCAACTATTTGTCCAAAATGATCTGACGGTAGTTGTTTAATTATCTGTTTTGAAAGTGGTACCAGATCTGTAAAAATGTTGTCAATACATGTACATGTACAGCTAAGCAAATGATCTAATATTTCTGTTCAGTCTAATTCGGAATATACGAATAAGTTGTGTTCAGCTAAGTAATAGTCTTGTGTAGTAACCCACAGAGCGGTGAAAAAAATTCCCTAATTGATTTAGTAAACTAACACAAACAACATTATTCGATGTAATCAATCTTAATCCATTTGTGTCTAAACGTCTTCGTTTTGTTATCAAAGAGACGCTTTACTACCGGGTAGCGACTGCCATGTCAACAGAATTTGTTTACATTGAGAGGAGGTGCAAAGCCAAAAGACTATCTGTCTATATCAAGCTCATAACATCAGGCAATGAGAGAGAGACTAGGCATACAACAATGATGACGACCCCTTTTATTTTGTATGTCCGTCAGGTAGATTGTTGAAAAATCTTAAACGAGTATTTTTTATCGTAATCATTAAATAACGGCGATACATTGAGTTGAAATGTCACATGACATCACGCTTTCATGTACTTTCTAGAAAAATGTGACAAGCGAGTCCCCACTCCTCAATTGAAATGCCTGTTGTCTAAACTATTACATGTGAAATTAAATTAAAAAAAAAATACGTATCTAATATTTTTCTATTATCTGACTGGTGGACTAAATATAATTCCCTTCTTTTTTAACCAGTTATTATCCCTATCGGGACAAAAGAAGGTGAATTGCGCGTTAAAACTGTCTTTGATTGATCACTTGCAAACTATTAGGATTTATAGAAATAGTGCTACACGATTCCCCCGGTTACAAAAAGGACATCTATCAACAGATATCTATCAATTTTCCCTATAAAAATTTTATAATTACAACAAGAAATGGAAAAAATGTAAATTTTAAGGCCAACTTTGTGATTATTTCTATGAAGAAAATTTCTCAATTCTTATCTTGACTGTAGAATTTAATCCATTATTCATGTAGAATTGAAGCCATTACAAATATGATATGGTTTTCTAATTTTTAAATGCAAGCTTATTTGGGTGTTATTTCTTTGTACAAAACCAGTTGGAAATTTGTGTTTTCATTATATACTTAAAAAGGCTGCGCGTAAAGACAAAGAGAAAATGGAAGGAAATCAATGGAGTATTGAGAATAAATCTTCAAAAACAATTTTGACTTGATTGCGCGCAAACTATAATCAACAAATCAATAAAGCAAACAAGCCGTTTGCTTTGTTAAATGAACTTCAAATATCACAATATATAATAACAACTTAATTGGACTTTATTGGAAGGATTTGAATGAAACGAATGAATGAATCGAGTAAAATGATTGTAAATTAATGAAAAGGAAGAAATTAACGAATGACATGGTTGAAAAGAACGAATAGTTGGGTTATATATTATTTTTCAGCACGTTATTGGCTTTTTTCGTCGCCCTATGCTTTCTGTTCAGAACCGCTATTTACTAGAGCGAGAAAGATAGCGTGTATGTGAATTTTCAAAATTCTCGATCAATTTTTTGGTAAGTAAAACCTATCTAAATCGATTGATCGCCCCTATAATAGAGGTTAAAATATGAAATTGCCGATTTGTACTGAAAATCAAAATTGTTTATTTTTTTTATTTTAAAAAATATATTGAATCAAAGTAGTTATCATTATTATCTATACATTGCTGCCATCTAATAGGAAGGTCATTTATGCCTTTGCGATAGAACTCTGAGGATCTAGACTGCACAAACTGTGTGAAAGCATTTTGTACTGCCTCCTGGGAAGAAAACTTTTTGTCACGTAGATAATTGTCCAAATCACGAAAAAAATGATAGTCCGTTAGAGCAAGGTCTGGCGAATACGGAGGATGACGACTGGTTTCTAACTGCAGTTCCTGAAGGGTCAAAACGGTTTCTCGTGCTGTATGAGGTCTCGCGTTGTCATGGAGCATTAATGGTGAAGATCGATTCATGAGTCGGGGCTGTTTTACTGCTAGTTTCGCCAACGTTGTTTGGAGTTCGGCTCAATAGACATCTGCCGTTATTGCTTGACCAGATCGAAGAAAACTATAGTGAATAACACCATGCTGAGACCACGAAACAGTTACCATTACCTTTTTATTGGTAAGTTTTGCTTTAAGACACTGTTGTGGCGTTTGACTTGGGGTCAGCCATTGCATTTTTCTTTTACGGTTATCATAAAGAATCCACTTTTCATCACATATCACAATTCGATCCAATATTCCTTCATTTTTGTACCTATTCAATAAGGCAATACAAGATTCAACACGCGTTTCTTTCTGCAGATCAGTCAAATCATGAGGCACCCATCTTTCGTATTTTTTTATTTTATTGATTTGACGCAAATTAGTCAATATTGTGTAGTGAGTAAGGTAACGTTAAACCATGCCGCTAATACCTGGGTAGTTTGACTAGGATTGGCTTCCACCATCTCTCTTAATTCATCGTTATTCACCTGTGTGGGCGGTCTTCCTCGTGGCTCGTTCTTCAAGTCGAAGTTTCAATCTCGAAAACGTTTAAACCAAATCGCATGGTGCGTTCATTAGCAGACCCCTCTCCAAACGCAACATTGATATTGCGGGCTGTTTCTGCCGCGTTACTTCCGCGTCGAAACTCGTATTCAATTACTCGAATTTTCGCAGTATCCATCTTTCTTGTCTAAGTTGAATAAAAAAAAAAATTGAAAGTCGATATTTAAATGTTTCACCTTTTTTAAAAAAAGAACATCATAGAAACAATGGGACAAAGTTTCTTTCGAAAACCTCAAATCATGAAGATTCTATGTCAATTCAAGGAACCTATTACAATAAAACGGAAATTAAACACTTTAACCCCTAATATATTAAATTTCATAAACATTGAAAAGAATTGCTTATTTAAAGGAATTCTGTATTTTGATTAATAGATACTAAAACAAATTCTGTTTCAAACTAATTACTACAAATACAACATTAAAATTTCATCATTATAGTTATAAATCAAGATTCGACTCCATAACTTTTAGCAATCTGGGCGAATATTCTAATCAATTGAGCTATCACAGATTTTAGCGCAGTTGTGAATACTAAATTTATAGAAAATACGACATGTAAAGTTTGCAATTATGTCCAATTGGACAATCGTCAAACGTTTCAATAAAACCGATTTGGTTTGATAATTTCTAGGCTCGATTCAGTGATTATGAGCAACGAGGGTTGCCATTTAAGAGGGGGAAGTGTCTGGGACTTTTATTAAAATTGGTTGATATAGTTTAAATTCAATTATTTAGCAACAGTTTATCTCATTATCTACATTAAATATGAAACTGAATCGAAAAGGAAGAGTGAACTCTTATCCCTGTATAGATTGGTGGGTGTCAACGACTGCAGATGCATCCGAAACCATAGACATGTGAGGTACGGAAGAGACTGACATAATAAACTTTTGGTAGCCCACCCTAACTACTGCATTATCGAAGTCCACAATTCATCTATCTCTCTATATAATCACGCCAAATACCTTGCAGATTAGACAGAGCAATCCAAACACCATAAAACAAAGTCTTTGGATACAACTTTCGCTTGAAGTTTATATTCTTCATACGCCACACCACCCCTCACCACTATTCAAACACGCAATCACTTTATTGAAAATAGCCCCAAATTCAATAACACCTGCTCTAAATTTTAACAAACCTTTAGTTATACTTTCAATAATAATCATATTATAAACCCGAAAGATCTTCCACACAATAATAAACAGAAACTACCATTACGGGATATATTATATATACGTAAATATAAATAATGGAAACCGTAAACAAATTAAACTAATACAAAATAAAATCAAAGATATAAATTGCTCGTATACCAATACCACAAAAAACGCCTCGCTTAACGTATCTTCCTGTTGGCGGCCCTAAGCGAAATTATTCCAGTTCAAAGGATCCATGTGTTCCATTCGATGCATTTCTAATTCCAGGAGCATACAGTTTACGACTGACCGCCTGCAACTGGAGTCCCCAACTCAAATTACTATCCATGATAACTCCCAAATTTTTTACTAATTCACTAAAAGGGATGTCAGTTCCGTCAAAATTCACTTCAGGGAGGAAATGCAGATCGAGTTCGGAGTATAGCCTAGAGCTACCTATGATAATAGTTTTCGTCTATTGTGAGTCCAGTTTGCTTTAAATGGAGCAAATCGTTTGTTCGACGACAACACGACGTAAATTTATATTAGTACATATACATAGTATGTACGTTCAACAAACTGAGAGAGTGGATTTTGGCAGTAGATTTGAAGATTGTTTGCGTGTAGATGGTAGGAAGAAGAAAGATTTTGAGAAACGGAATTGATGAACAATGTGAAAAGCAGAGGGGATAAGGTCCCACCTTGTAGAACACTAGCAGTCGTGTCACACAAAAAGGATTTTTTTTTTGAATGCGTACTCGCTGTCAGCCAGTTGAACGACCATTGTATCGGCTTTTAGCTTAACTTGTATGAATTACTTCGTTAATTTCACGAGATACCCATGGTGCAAGGAGATATATAATCTCACACCTAGATTTAAACTATAAACTCAAAAAAACTTAGTTTTAAGGAGAAAAAGGAAACAACGTATAACTACATTTTTGTTAAGGAAGATATAACACTGAATTCTATTTAAAATCATAAAGAAGAAGCAAATTATCACTAAATATAAACTGGCTCTAAGAATAAATTTTCAAGTGATTTTTGCAATATTTTAAGTTGTTAGTAGTAGTTTACAGAAAGAACTAAGTACAAAAAGAAAACCACATTTAGACTTGAAACAGTTTTTGTTGATCATTTTGAGTTGTACCTACGTTTGAACATAAAAATTAAACAATTTTTCAAAAAAAAGCTTATGACTGTAAATAAATTCCTGTAATATCTGCGCTCTCAAGTAATGCGACTGAATCCTGGAGATAGATTGGTGTAAGTTGAGAGCACTGTTTTTGATTTCAGCATCAATTTTTGAATTTTTCTCTTAATGGTGCACTGAATGGTGCTATGACGAACTAACTCAAAATATTTTTTAAATAAAGTGAAGCATAGTTTGATTATGATTTAAGCAACACTTGCAAAATGTAATGTTTGATAGAGAAAAACATTAAAATAAATTTGTTCCAACAATAGTAGGTTAGCTAGAAATTTACATATTGATCCATCCAATAACGACAAAATGTTACTTAACTTATCAAACAAAACTGGCACAAGTCAAAATACCCTGAAGTATTAATGCAAAACACTTTCCCTATACAGTAATAACTTGAATTAACTAGTGTATATTGTTTGAACTAGTGTACAAAATATAACAATTCAAGGTGATTGTGCTTGCATTGAAATAAATACGTGCACTCCCTAAGACTAGTGGAGGTCAACTGACAATACATTTGTTTACATGAAAGGAGCGCGACCAGTGTCGATTTAACAAAAGAAAGCTAAAGCCATCTTTCTAGTGGCTCATCCCCCGAACCTTTATTTAACCTTTTAGGTTAGATAGATGTATATTATCACAGAGTATTTGAATATTGCACTAACTCACGATTTTTGAACTTAAATCTAATACTTAAATTTAATCATAACTGTTAAAAACTATGCAAGACATCTGTGCACCAATGGCACGTAAATACACGAACATAAATAGCAACGACCTTTGCAAGCACTACCCACTCTTTCGCCCCTTCACGGAGCATCCCGGGAAATAGGCATTGCATGTTGGTGGTGGTTGTTAGATTTTTGCCGCATGTGCGCTTGTATTTATTTGCGAGGGGTACACAGTAATCTTAAATGAACTTACTGTATAATATGAAAGTTTCTAGATATCATACTTTATCATTTATTACTATGTAGGATGGGAAACTAATGCCTAATTATCTGCTTACAATGATATACTTCATATAGTGTTAATGAGGTCTATCTACCACGTTTTTCTCTGTCTTATTAAACCATTATCCGACCACGTTTTCTTTACTATCATTGTCAATTTTCTTTAGGCGGCCAATGTATTAATTACTTGTGTCTGATCTAAGTGTGTAATAGACTGGATCGTTGATGTTTTCAGAGGGTAAAAGCCTAGCTACATCGTACGAATGCAAGTTCATAGAGACCTCTGTGGGCATCAACCATAACGTGGACGAGCTGCTGGTGGGGCTGCTCACGCAGATCAGACTCAAGCAGCAGCATGCAGAAAGAGTACGGTGAGTGACAAAACAATGTTTTTTATTCCTGCGTAAAGAGGTTTTATTCTACTTATTATATATATATATAGTTACATAAATAATATTCAGTCGCGTTATATACATTCAGTCAAAAAAGTATCGGGAATGGATTATTTGTTTATGGGTCCAATTCAATTTTTTTTTTTGTTTGTTGTTGTTAGATTGAGTTTTCGTTGCATCTGTTATTTATATTAAATACAGTGCTGTTTTTAATTATATCATATATAGTGTGTATTGCGAATTTCATAATGGAAAAAAACATTGAACAAAGAGTTTGTCTAAAATTTTGCATAGACAATGGAATTTCGATTTCGATCTACTTTATCAAAAACGCATGCTTATGAGTGGTGCAAAGCGTTCAAAAACGGTCAAGATGTGATGGAAGATTTGCCTCGCTCTGGTAGGCCATCAACGTGTGCAACTGAAGTTAACATCGCAAAAGTGAAAGAAAAAGTGTCTGAAAATCCTCATTCAACTTTGAGAAAGAACCGCCGAACTTTATGTATCTCACGAGCCATTTAAATAATCATTTGGGTATGAAAATTGGGACGTTTGTGCAACTAGGTGAGGGTATATAAATTAACTACAGGTTAGGTTTATGCAGAGGAGTGCAGAGTGTTATTTTATTATAATAATGTTTTAATCACATTTAATTAATAACAAAACACTACACACAACCCTGCGATTGACGCTTTTGTTTACCGAATGACAAATAGTAATGAAAAAGTATTTGTAAAATATTAATAATATCCCAACATAATGGTCGAAATTTGATTGAGAAAAATTAATTTATAAATTATGAGAAAACAAATTAAGATATATTATAAGCACACCACAAGAGGGCAAGTAAAAATAATAAAAAAAAAATCTTTTTGCTTGCCCTTTATCTGGAAAAAAAATATTGTTTAAATTTATTATTCGGTGTATATGGATTCAGTATAACGTCGAATCAGACTCCAATCAGGTCACATTGTAAAATCCGTGTTGAGAGCCTTCTCTTAGAAATTGATCGCCATTGTAAATATTTTCGTCACTCCTACTTTTGTTTGAAATAAACGTGAGGGTCTTTACCTCGCCCGATATCTCTATCAAATTCGTGAATTATTTACATGGCCAAAATCATAAGAGTAGTTTCATATGTACACAATTTTTATATCTTCTATATCTATTATTTTAATTTATTTTTTGTTCAATTATGGAATTATAAATTTCGTGGGATATAATAGTATAAATAAATTACGTAGGTATTAACATTAACTTTTACTAGACTTCAAAAGTTAATAATTTATTAAGACGTTTTTATGCTTCTACTAATCAATATCTACTATAAACTAGTCAAATCTACTATAAATATAACCTATGAATGCTTGACGTAAGCCATTTTAACTAGTGATCACTAATAATATTTCTAAAGGATAGTGATTATTAACTGTATATGTCTTTTGGTGGGCACTGCCCTCAAATCCATAAAGTGCATCTTCAGCAAATAAATACACGAGCACAAATGCAACGCCGTGGTTGACTACGACTCCGTAACTGACTCTATAAAGTATGTATAACAAATGATAATACTACTACAATGTATTACTTGTGTATGTATTTGTTTATTAATATATAATATAATGAGGTTGCTCAATATCGAATTCAAACAGTTATTGTGGGGATGCTCTTCATTAGTCATAGCAACTTTTTATATAATTTCCTACTATAATTACTATCAATAACGTTATTATTATATAATGAACTTTTGCAATAACGACTTTCATCATAATTTCATTAAAAATAACACTTGTTTCAAATAATACTTCTTTTTTATAACATCAATAACCATAATATTCAAAACGTCTGAAAATTATTCATATAACACTTAAACGGTAAGAATTAAAATATTATAACATAATATTACAACCGATTAAGTTGATTAAATCTTCACATTTGTAGTGTTATATGATTTAACGATAATACCACATAAGTTTTATGTAAAATAATGTATATTAAAGAAAATTATATTAATTTAAGGATATTTCTGTCAAATTTAAAATAAAAAATATTTTTTCAGTTTATTATATAAAATAATCAATATATTAAACAAAATTATGTTATTCGAAGGTATAGGTTTTGAATTTTATCTATTTTGTTAATGTGCCATATATAACACACCCTTATTGTAATGGATTTCCGGAAAGTACAAAGAACCTTGCTACACAATAGTGTAGCTGGAATGAGTTCATTTTAACTAAATAATTATTTCATCGGATCGGTGTAGTCTCGGAGAGTGTAAAACGGATCTAAATCATTCTGGTGCTCGTAATTCGATATGAATGTGAGTGTTGACACAGTAGGAAACGTTGGTAGGTGCCGAAAGAAATCTGACGAAAATAAGATAAAGTGAGAATTTGATTATAACAATGGTACATGAAGTGATTCGTTTATCTAATAATAGCTAATAATGGCATTTGTGCTAGAGGGAACCTTCGAGCACAAATACCATTATTAGCTATTCTGAATTCCTTACAGTGCCATTTGGCATCCCACAAGGTTCGCATCTAGTGCCCTTTTTTTATAAAGTCTTTACAGGATGAATTTGCATCATTGCATTTCCTGTGTTTCAGTTTATCACTAAAACAGATTTATAAAGAAATATTATTTTGGAATTTCATACTTAAATATAAATAAGTTAATGTTGATATGTTGACAAAAAAATCAGACTAAAAATAGATAATTAATTTAAAATAAAACAAATATTGAAGAAGGCGCTTAAACAAGAAATGTGTTATTAGTACGGAACCCTTCGTGCGCGAGTCGAAATCGCACTTGTCCGGTTTTTTATCTCCGATTTTACAGTACACAATAGAATATATTTTTTAAATATCTAAACCAATTCATATTTTTAACGCAACTATAAATTCAGACCGAATGAAAAGGACAGGATTCCCTGTATTTTATTTTGTGCGTTGATTGCTTATGACTTATAAACAGCAAGAATGACTTCTATTACATATATATTAAGTTAAATATTGTTTATTACATTCCTTTAAGAAAGTACGATTCAAGGAAAGTTTTATTCATGGATATTCAGTTGTTAAGTTCATTTTTTTTATTTCATTTCTATTTTTTTAAAGACAAGCCCGTTTTTTTAGGATCCAAGTAGAGCATGCGAGGAAAAAAGTACATCTAGACTACGAATTAAAATTAATAATTTGTAAATCACACGAAGAATTGTTCTTTGTGGGGATCGAACCCACAACACTCGATCCGTGGGCAGTTTCATGGCCACAACTCAACCATACTAAATCTAACCTGCATAATGCAAAATAATGATCACAATTCTTGCCGAAAAAATCTTTTAATTATTGAATATAATATATAGTATGATTATATAAAATGCCTATGAAATACCTAATTAAGAGGGGCGGCAATATTCTCTTCCGCCCCGAGTGGCAGACACCCACGCTACGCCACTGCTCCGATGTTAATAGAATACATAAAGAGAGAGAGAAAAAACATGAATTGATCAAAATGTGTTTCAAATATATCACATTTAAAACTCTTTTTCATCTTAATCAAATAAAAAGTTTATTATGATAACAGCATGTATAGATTCACTGTGGCAGAATCAAAGAAATAGGCCAACTTATAGGTTACTCAATCGCTTTTAGGTTATTATCTATAATCTCTAACGCTTATAGGTTCTTCAATCTTTAGAAATGCATAGTCAATCTCTATACAAAATACTTTTCCCCTGAAGGATAGGCGTCCAAATAGGTAAGGTTTATTAATTATTTTTATACCTTGGTTCTACCATGCCCGCACTCCGTGTGCTGACCCGTGTGCCGATTAGTGTAAATGAGGCATAATATCTATGCAGGAAGCGTAGTGGTTCCCGCAAGAATCGTGCGCGTGGGCGCTCCCCGCTGCAGTCCCCCGGAGCGACTCCTGCTCCCGCCCCCGCTGCGCCCGCCTCCGCCGCCAGCACGCCGCGCAAACGCACCAGACTCTCCGCCAGCGTCAAGGTAAAGTATTTCCTATTATATTAGAAGTATTTTTTTCTTTAAGACAATGGAATTCACCCGTACCACCCAGTCTTGCGTGATACTACAATAATTTTATTTATTTATTTATTCTTTATTGCCTAAGGACAAATGACGGACTAAATGCCATAGAGGCATTCTTTCCCAATCAACCAGTAAGATTGTACAGAACAGTAGTAGGCGGTAAAGATTAAAAACCGTACATAAAATCGTAAGCATTAGCATATATACATGCAATACATATACGCATATATACATATTATTTATATACAAACATTATATATACATATATATTATAAGATATAACGAGTACTGAAATGGTGGTGTCTGATTATGAAATGGAAGTAGACAGGAAATAGTGGTTACGAGCTGCAGACTTAAACGCGAGCTTGTTTGGGGCGTTACGAACGTCAAATGGTAATGCATTCCATAGTCGGATGGCTGTCAGAGTGAAAGAGCTGGATACGTAGCTGGAATGGTGGGAAGGTATTTGAAGGATCAAATTACCACTGGAGCGAAGATTTTTCTGGTGGAATCATGCGTTTTTACCAAAACGTTTGTGTTACTCCAACGGAGTAATCTTACTTTGGAGTTTTTGTTACAATCGAAGCACATAGGATCTTATGGGTTCCTGCCAACTTAATAAAAATGTCAGTAATTATCACGCTAATTTAAGCGATCTCTAAGCGTATCGTGCTTGACGCACTTCCGTATTCCCTCACCCCCATCCGAATGATTCTCATGCCAGTTTCAAGGACTCTGAGGATTCTGGTACAAACCCAGTCGGGTCAATGTAGAAAAGTATATTTTCTACATTGTCTCGAGTTTGGGTGTTCAAATTTCCATAAAACAAATGCTTTAATTAGTTAATTTGGAATCTGAGCAAAGTTTGTGATGATCTTTAAAATTAATTTATGAATCCAACGGAGAATCTTACCCTAGAGTTCATCCAGATAACTATCCCTAATAATATATTTACATTATACATTTCACAGGAACTCATACCCCAGAAATGTTGATCCCTTATGATATATTTGTATGTTTGTACATTTACAGGTGCGCGGGTTACTAGGTCGCGTGTGGGCGCGAGACTCCAAGTCGAAGTCATGTGAGAACCTCCACGTGCTCTAGCATTCGGCCGCCGACTCCGTCGCATGCTTCCCCTTCTTCGACTGCGCTGCGGACTACTCTTAAATGATTTTTCATCATCGCTAACTAATATATATCATGCTACCATCTGTATGTAATATGTAATGTAATATACATTCCATAATTATATAGCTGACTATTGTTTACATGTTACATTATTAATTGCTGATACCCTATAATTTTACACTGCATAATAATAATTTAACATACCCTTAATTTATTAGTTATTCATTTGGTTTGAATATTCACTTGACACTTATCTTTATCATAATTAGTACAGTCCATTTTAATATCGTTTAGCAAAATAGAAGGATATTTTTCTTTGCGACTGTATTTATTACGGCAAATGTAGTTTTTGGATTATAAAATACCTAGTAATACTTCAAAGACCTAATTCCGTTTAGATAAACGTATATTAAACTATGTCAACTATATTTCATTAGAACGAAAAAAATTAAAACGCTACATATAATAGAGTCAATCATTGAGTATGGTAATTTTACAATAAAAATGACATAAATTTATTAGTTATTATAATAAGAATGTTTCAAAAAATATTTACAGAAAGTTACAAAAGTTAAATGAGTTTCAAAATTTTTTACCGTATGGTTTGGGTAAAATATTTAATACTTACTACTATCGCATGTAAAAAATTAATACTACAAATTAAAATAATATTATGTTTGAATCTTAATTTCATTTCAATATTTTTTCAAATAACCATTTTCATTGCTTCTAATTAGAACTTACTTGCATATTAAAAAATAAATATTTGCTTATTACCATTGGGAAAACGACGGGTCGGCAACCAAATGAATAAAAGATTTATTATTAATGAGGTTTAATTAAATATTTGTATCGAAACAAATATTTGCAAGCTTCCATACCAATAAATAAGTATTATTTAACGACATCTATTGAGATGAAAAGAAATTATAATAATAATACAGTCAATAAGAACAGTGTCAAAAATATTTCAACTTTTGAATATAAAATCACAATGTTTAATAAAGTGGCTGCGATAATGCTATCGAATGGTATTATTAAAAAATAAGATGTGAGACATAGTATTTTATAAATAATGCTTTGAAAGTATTATAAATGTATTAACAATTAATACAGCATATATGTGATCCCTGTGTGTCTCCTATTTAGAAGTAAGTCAATGTCTTTATTTTAAAATCGTGTATCTATAATATATATGTCAGTGTTAAATGTTTTTTTTTACATTAAATAGATTAAGTAGGAAATAATATTAAAGTTATTTGCAAAGAGAAAATATTATTTCGTATGATATTTGATTTTGACGATACTATTATGTTTAAAAGCTTACGATGATTCTATATAGTTTATAAATTACGTAAGGTATTATTAGGTACTTGTAAATTAAAAGAATTGGACATGAAAGTGATCTAATAATACAGTATTTGTATAAATATAAGATTATTTTGTAAGAATTATAAATCATATTTTTACTTGATAATTACTTCTTGATCTTTTTTAATTTTTTATACACTTTTTTTTCCACTGATTGCATTATTTTATATATTTCAGACACTTCATTTATCAAAGAAAAAACTTAGTGAATTCATTACAAAATGAATAAATACATGAATATGAAGTAACAATTATATAAACTATATGTACATATGACTTTATGTTTTAACATTATTCGAAGTGCGACTAAGTATCACTTTATGACTTAATATGAAACTTTTTTCTATAAAAATCTTACATTTCATCAAAATAATATCTAAAATTAACACCAATTGGGTCCACAGCTTCAAAATTAAGCGAAACGAATTAGAGATAGGGTTTATTTTCTTTTCGGCATAATTTTTGCAAATATGAAATTTATATACATCTAGATATGTTATACGAAAGTAGAAACCGCGGTGTAACTCGTAATTTAAAATGTGCAGCTAAATTTAAAGCAATATCATAATATACTGCTAAAAATTAAAAAAGAAACGCCGCATTACAGTGAGATATTTAGTAGATAAATTATTATACTTACATAAATATAAAAAACGCGTGTTTATGATAACATCGGCAGGCAATATATAAATGAAATAATTCTGAAGGTAACAAATAAAATGAATCCATCCAAGGAGTAGATTGCCAAAATACACAATTATACTATAAACAATAAAACAATTACGTTCCTCTGATGACAATTTTTTGTAGAAAAATTAAGTAGTCGTATTTTAATTTTCTAGTGAATCCCGTATAGAGTTCTTTTGTTATCTTAGTAATATATAATGTAAGTGTTGTTTTAATAACAATTATTTCAATTTCAGTGCCTCAATTTATAGCGAGAAAAAATATATAATTATTTGATCCCTCCGTAAGACCTGTTTGCCTTATTTTATTAGGCATTATTTTATATGTGAAATGATATGGAATAGACGCTAGAAAGTTTATACATAAAATATATTAGTGTTTACTATATTAATAATTATGTGAATTACTAACTAATGAATAGGTGTATTTTAAACTCTCTATTGATGTTGATATAGTAGTTCAAAATTAAGTAATAAATCTAGTGTACCTACAACGTTGAGGCAGTTTGATTAATATTTAGATTTTGAAAAAGAAATGGATTTAGCAAAATTTTGATTATTCCGATTAATACTAATAAATCTTCAACGATTGCACAGTTTTCTTAATGTTTATATTTCATATATTCTTAAAATATATTTATATTTCATATATTCTTTAATAATATTTATATTATATATATTGTTTTGAAAATTAATATTAATCAATACTGCCTCAAGGATCACCTTAAAATTTAAAAAATATATGTAAAAAATTATAGAGCATTTTCTCTTCGAATTTATATCGTCGGAGAGTTAATTATAATTATTAATCCCAGGGTCCAATATAAAACACCAATCTCACCTAGCCCTTGGACTATCCTGGACCACCCTGATTCTTAGCTTATTTATCAGCAGTAGAACTTAGTATTTTGTAATTTGATATAAAGAAATCAAATTATCGTCAAAAACTGTGTAATATTTGTATTACACTAATTATACAAATGATTAATATGTAAAATATATATTTAAACAATGTGCACTTAATTTATTGTCCAGTTATATATTAACTCATACAAAAATGATGCTATAATATTATAGCATCAATATTTAATATAGCTTAATTATCAGTTAATTTTATGTTATTAATTTATTATCAATAACTTAGTTCGACGCGGCATGTGAATCGATTGACGAATTCTTTAGTATTACTTTTTAGTTTTATTAACGTGATATAATTTAAAATATATAAATTTAATGAATATAACTATTAAGTTTATATGTTGTACTTTTTTCTGGGTATATTATAATTTAGATAAATCAGGGATAAGACAATAAATTTAACCAAGAATCAGAAAACTTATTATTATATAAATATTTCATTCATATAAAAATATTGAAATGTTGATATTAACGATATGCATTTAGGAAGTACTGAATCTACTGCTGAACTCCTTGAATTATTCTGGGTACGCTTGCTTGCTTTAGAAGTGTTCTAAAACAATGTGATTTAGGTTATTTACTGGATAATAATACTCGCTAAGGCTGCAATGTCATTACTATACATAAAACTGAAATAAACGACGCAATTCTTTATATTGGACTAACTTTGAAAAAAAAAGAATATTCACTATTTTCAACTAACTGCAAGTGGACTTATATAACCTTATAAGTGAATTTATTAATCACAGCACTATATGATTTATAGTCTAAGTGATGGTGACAAAATATGCAAAGCTTCGAATGCTTGATGTTTCAGTATTGGTATTTAATAGCCCATGCGTCGATCAAGTGCTATAACACCTGGTTACGACGGGGCAATGTCAAGGACGAAAAATAGTAAAAAATATTATAGGTGCTTACTTTCCAGTAATCGCTAGAAGTATGCTTTATATTGAAAAATAAAGATTTCGGAAGCCTTTGCACATTTCTGTCACGAATTCTCTGTCTATTAATTGAATCGAAAATTGTTAATTTTGGTATTATTTTCGTTATGGTATTTTACTGTATAAAAGCAACATGAAGAACAGCGTCCACCATTTCACTTTTATGAATAGACAATAACTTTTAAGGCCCAGAAAGTATTGTAACAACTCGCATAAAAACCTAAATCTCTGATATAATTATTATAATAAAATTGCTGGTCCCCAAGTCTGAACCTAAACTAAGTTCAAACCTAATTATAACCCCTCGGACCATGTTAAGCAATATATCTATATATACATATGTGTTATTAATATATTTATATTTTATAGGCTCATAGATTTTCATAGATGTAGGAGTAGCTTAAATAGAATTTTATAATTATTGTAATTAGATATAAGTAATCAAACAAATTATAGGTGTGTCCATGTTAATTCGTCGTAATAATTGGTGTCTTTAAAGAAAATTATCTTTTTGGAATCTACGACTAAAAGGTATAGCTCAAATTACATGATAATTAAATTTGCACTTTAACTTCGTAATAGAAGGCTTTCAATGGTATTTGTTAGCTTATTGGTGAAAAAGTTGTTTCTATATTTATGTTTATTTTTTGTATAAATATCTGATCATTCCCTTTATTTTTAAAACGCACAATTAGTTGTCTCTAGGATCTCGTATTATAACAGTCACAACTACTTATTCATAAATCTTTGTTTTCTTCAGTGCAAATTATATTTTCATTTAATTATGAGCGAAATCATAATATTAGTAAAAAATAAATGTCTCTTAATGGCAATTCCGTTATAATATTCATTTAAGATATTCCGTGACAATATATGTTTAACTGAATGACAATCTAGATTAAGCTAATAATGAGTTTGTTAATCTGACAGGCATATTTTTTTCTTTTCATCAAGTCACTAAATCCCTATACCGGCTAAGTTGTTACTATCGCCAAAAACAACAGTTATATTATCTAAACGTATTGAAAATTCCGTTCCGTTCGCGCTATATCATTAC